TGTGTTAGTGTGTGTGTGTGTGTGTGTGTGTGTGTGTTCGCGCGCGCGTGTATAGATCTACGTCTTGCTTTCTCTCTCTTTCTCTCACTCTCTTTCCTGAAAATTCTTACAACTGATAATAGCTTCATTATTATGATAGGCTTGCAAATAGAATTTTCTCCAATTTCTGCTGATCTTAGAAAAGATGGTGACACATCAAAAAAATATACACCTAGTCGACTAAAAAGAAAATTTCGATCCCGGCGACCTCTGACCCCTTCCCGACACATTCTTTAGTTAGATAACTTAAATGCGTCTCTCGCTCATGACGTCAAGGCAACCAAAATGTAGTCCCACTGAGAGTGGATACAAGAGAGTTGTATTACTTTAAAACTCCCTGGTGGAGACCCAAAATGTGCGTATTCACCTGTCACCTGTCACCGTGGCTGTGGTCGTCCGTTGATGCCCCACTCCTTGCAACAATGACAGGCTTCCTTCTTCTCCGGTCTCTGTTTGGATGTTTTATTTCAAGAAGTTGGGGACCACAGCCAGATTTTTGTCTTTTTCAATCATGTATGATGTAGGAGGTCTTCCCTATATTTTGTCTTTGCCTCTAATTCACTTTGGGACTCAGTAAGTTGTCATCAGGTCTATTTTAAGGTTTCTGTTTGCTGGACCAAGGTACTTGCGTATTACTAGAGTCTACGTTTGCTGAGTGTGTGTTTTAGTTCATGTAAATTCTGATAGGAGGGTTACACTTTACTTTTATCCCACATTCTTTCGAGCAAATAACATAAATTATGTTTGTTTGTTTATGGAAGATGTAGAGTCTTTATGGGTCCCTGTTTTTGAAAGAGTCCGAGGGCGGAACAATTAGATTTTAGTCCAGGAACGATTCAAGATATTATGAGGAAACCATTTCGTCCCACATTTTTCGTTTTGAAATTTTGTCGTACCCGTTTTCGTCCCACATTTTTTATTTTGAAATTTGCTTGCACCCGTTTTCGTTCTACCCGTTTCGATACACAGTGGTTCGATTACTTATAGGTCACTGCGATTGCCACTCTGATTCCAAAGTGATTTTACAATGAGCTGAGAAAATAATTTATTGTTTATAATCCCATGGACAGGGAGATGGAAATAGGAATTCGTGCTGAATGAAAATGAGTTTCTATAAAAGTACTTGAACTAAGATGCTTGTTAAGAACTCTGTATAAATCCAGGGTAAAACGTTCTACTTTGTTAACAGTCAATTTGCTACGGTCTCCTGAGATGATAGGCTGAAATTTTCATCAGAAAGTGAAGATTAAGTACGGTAGTCTCAGAATATCACCACACCCTACACCAGAGAGAGAGAGAGAGAGAGAGAGAGAGAGAGAGAGAGAGAGAGAGAGAGAGAGAGAGAGAGAGAAAGATAGTTGTACTCACACAAAGCAGTATGTGTGCCACATCTGGCCGTTAGAGTTGACGATCTGCTCGTCCAAGCCAAAGCCTTCCCCACAACGCTGGCAAACCGCGCTGCCCAGCGACATGGTGGCACTGAAACACACACAAACAAAACCAACACGTTGATACAGAGGTCACAGAAATGTGCTACACAACTGAACTCTAATCAATGGCATATATCTGGCACAATCAGCGAAGGACCCTCTGCAACATTTTGGAGAGAGCAACGGAGCATCAAAGGACATGTCCGGAGAGCAGGAATGTTGCTTCCTGAAACAATAAATCAATGGTATCAAGGAAGGCAAGCCTACCACAGACTCCAAAGACATGGGCGATGTTTTACTTTGATCTAGTACAACGAGGTTTTTTTCAGACACTCGCAAGACAATTAGATCAGATTAAAGGTGTCACAAGAGAGTACTAAATGTAAAAGGGAGGAGAGATAAAGATGATAGATGTTTGGCAAGAAAGAAGAAGCAAACAACATGAAAGCATCTGTCAACCACCCATGAATTTCCTATGAAATAAAATATACAAGTAAAGGTTTAGTTAAGGCTTCCCTTCTTCAAATATAATCAAATTGTATGACCTCATGTTGGCATCATGTCACAGACTCTGAAAATGTGTAGTACGACATGTAAGTTCTGAATGGAGACCTCAACTAGACTTTTGCCATTATACATATCATTTTAAAGAACATGAAGGCAACTCAATAATGATGATGAAAATCTATGAAAGGCATGATAACGCTATTTGCTGACTCTAATTGTTTGTTTGGTTCCATTTGTTTTGTTCAGATTTTAGCACCAACACAAAAGGTAATTTAATGGCAAGTTTTGAACCTACATGCACAAATCAGAAAAGTGAGATTGCAAATTTCATAGTACACATGTTGTTACTTGACATTTTGAGTTTCAAGTGAAGAAAACAAAATGGAAGAAATAAATTCTGTATGAATAATGACATTGTGCCCCAAAACAGTACGTCTTGTTGTGGGTCCCCAGAATGCACGTCCTCGGTGAGTCAAACGTCCGTTTTCCCCGGTCAATCCTGGCAAATCGAAGAGGTGGACAGCGGCCAGACCTACCTGGGCTCTCCCGTGTCCATGCTAAGAATCTGGGTCAGGTGACCGTTGTCCTCTGCCTGGGCCACGCGGCGCCGCTGGAAGAGTGGGCTCTCCGTCTGTTGGTCCAGGGGCTGCAGCCTGAACTGCGTCCTCCGGGGGCCCATTGTCGTCATTTTGGGGCGGCTCCTTCAATGTTTGTGTTTACACCACACAGACACTTGCTTAGAGGTCCTAGTCACACACTGGTCAAGATACCACAGCCACAAAGATTTTTTTTAAAGGCCAGGAATTCTGTATTCTCCAAAGTCCGTTAGAAGATCCAGTATGTGCACTGGTTTTGGTTCCAAACCCACAAAACCCTGGTCACACACAGGGTCTGGCTCCAAATTTACAAAGCAAAAAAAAATAATAAAATAATGGACACAGACCGGTCCTGGTTTCAAATCCACAAAGCTAAGAAGGCCCAGGTATTCTTTATTCTCAAGAATTTGTCAGAAGATTCGGTCCGCGCGCTGGTCCCCGGTTCCAAACTCACGAAACTAAGAAGCTCTTGTCGTTGTCGCCGGCTGGATTCCAAAAATCACTGTCGACCAAAGATCTCCAATATCAGAACTCGCTGCTGGCTTCACACTTCCGCAACTGAAGTCCGTAAAAACAGTACACAAGCCGCATTGCGACGAGAACCTTGCTTCCAATTTTTATCCAGAGTCCAAAAATATCAAACTCTTCGTCACAACCACCACGATTGTCTTTTTCTTCCCCGTAGTTCATCTAGTGTCGTCCATCCTTCTCACAACAATTCTATGGTTTTTTTCGGCCGAGTAGAAGAAAAACAGCATTATCCCATGCTCTCCCAAGATCGTTCGTAATGCTAGACAAATGTATCCTTGGGAGTCCGCCAGAACGTAAGACACCGTCTGTACTCAGCCCTCTGTGCTCACTATCACCATCAGAGGAGACAGTGGTTAACTCAACAGTAGCTACACGCGGATGGCTGGTGCCTCCGTAACACACATTAGGAAGGATCCGGTCTCTTTTGATTTAGCAAGTATATTTACGGCACTTGTAACATAAGGTCATATAAATGCTGAAGATTAGAGGTGTTACAAGAGAGTTCTAAACACACAAACGATAGGCGCC